ATATATTTATCGAGATACTCGTTTAAAAATTTGTCATGTAAACACGTACGCCCGTATGTATGTATGTATGCATTTCTTACATTTTCCAGGAAATATCGGTGAGCGAGTTAATTCAAAGTGCGAGCCTAATTAAAATTTTTCAACGGACGTGTATACATACTATAAAAGCTCAAGCAATTCCTCAAGACAGCTAGATAACCAAACCAAGTATGTCCGCAACTAATTCTTTTAATCACTCGTATGGTGCGCCGGCCGCTGCCACTGCCGCATCAACATCCATGATCCTACCACCCGCTGAAGGTGCAAAGCAGAAAGGCGGCACATCTGCTATGCGACGTCTGGATTCAGCTGCGCCCAACAAACGTAATATACCCGCAAATCAATATAGTTCGCAAAAGCAGCAGCAACGTGACGCCAACGCATCGCCGAAACGTCAATTGCAGGTTGCCCAACGGCACCAACAACAACACCAGCAGCAATATAGCGAGGCCATGCAAAGCGAAGATACTTTAGAGTATTTTATAAAGTTCCCAACAATGAACTATCGTAGCGATGCTATGGATAATGGGGATTCTGATTTCGTATTCATTTATAATGATTCAAATGTTCCTATTGTTATGCTACTCGGTTGGGCTGGCTGTCAGGATAGATATTTAATGAAATACTCGAAAATCTATGAAGACCGGGGGTAAGTTCTTCAGGCAAATAATCACCTCCATTAATTTGCATGAATAAAGTTTATTTCTTTTTAACTTAGTATTTTATATCATTCTAAGGATTTTTAACCATCTGATTTCCTAACATCCAATCCATAAACTTAATTTCCATTGTATGTACGTTTGTACAAACTGTAATTCTGTAAATCTGTAATGGTTATATTTTACAGTATGTATGTACTTATAATTGTCCTTATGTATATACATATATATGTATGAAATATGTCTTATTTTATGATTGGTACGCTTTACATGATATTTGTCCTTGGCTTTTTTAGCTTAATAACCGTTCGCTATACAGCCCCAGTGGATACACTATTTTGGAAACGTACCGCAATGGTGCCCATTGGCGAGAAAATATTAAAACTAATGTATGATATGAATTTCGACACTCATCCGGTGATTGTGCATATTTTCTCTAATGGGGGTGCTTACCTGTATCAACACATATCGCTAGCAATGCGTAAGCACAGGACTCCTATTCAAATACGTGGAATGATTTTTGATTCTGCTCCCGGTGAGCGTCGCGTTTTGGGCTTATATCGTGCCGTTGGAGCAATTTATGGCAAAGAGAGAAAGAAGTGTCATTGTATTACAGCTCTAATTATAACATTAACCTTGAGCATTATGTGGTTCGTTGAGGTGAGTGATTTAACAAGTATATTAACAATTTTTCGTGTTAAGTAAGACATTAAAGAAATGTACGCACAGGGAAAGTCATGCGATGCCAGTTTAACGAGAAAAAATTAATATATTTCTTTTTAACATCCGCTTTGATTTGACGTCGACCCGGATGTACACCGTTAACATGCATATGATCGGTTCTACCGGATACTAAAAATTTTGTAATGTCGCCAAACGATGTGACAAAAGCTTGCTGCGTTTGAGTTCCGGCCGCTTAGCGAAAAATTTTGCATGTGAAAGCAAAAACAGAGTTAGCTAACAACGATGGACATTACAAAAATTTTTAATATGCGGTAGAACCGACCATATGTACAAGTATGTATGTAATTCCAGCCGTAATCAAAATAAGGCTAAAAACATACTAGAGCTGCGAGCAAAACGTCGATGGAACCACGTATAATAAAGAGCAGAGCGGGCATACATCATCGACGCTTTGCTCTTCTCTTTGCTCAGCGCTCCAGACAGCGTTGCCGAATTGACGATTTCGTGGTCATTTTGACGTTTTTTTTAGCTCAATGACGTTTTGGCGATTTTCCTCCGTAATTACGATTTTTTAATTTAGTTTTTCCACTAAATTACATATGTATGTATGTATGTAAAAAATTTGTTACAGGAAAACGTAATCCAAAATTAAACCATGCATTTATCTAGTTTTGTTCTACAATCGTGCTTTTAGTTATATTAAATTTGTTCCAGAATTGTAACCAAATCGGTAGTTTGCACTGCTGACACTGATTTGAAAGAGATAGAAAAGTGGGAGAGGGAACTTGTTCCGTCAAAATTATCTATCAGTTAACAGATGCTACCCAATAAAACTTTAGGTTTGAGCTCAACTTGAGGTTAAGTTGAGAACTAAGGTATTTCTCAAATCTCCAATGTTGTTTCTCAACAGTACTCAAGTGGAGGATCATAGCGTTCTCAACAAAAAGGGCATTTTTCTTTGTATGAAAAAAGGACTGTTTCTCAAGTTGAGAAAAAAACTAGTTCTCAACTTGAACTCCAATGTAATTCTCCAATAGGTCTCAAACATATCATTGAAATACTGAAATTGAAATAGTAAACTATCTTGTAGCTTTGTGATGTGATTGAAACGACATATATAGATGAATTTAAATATTAATTTTTCATTTTATTACTCCTTTTGTATTATGTAGTTAATCAATATCGTATTACAATAATTCACTTCACAGTATACAGCCCGACAGTAATTTTGCCACTTGATTCACTTCGCGTTTTATTTTCTTTCAAGAATATTTGAGGATACTTTGAAGATTATTTACTTTTCGTTGGTAGTTTTCCCCTTTATATAGCTTTAGTTTTTCACTTGATAATTAAAAATTGGTATTGATGAGTTGGAAAATGATGTTGGATATTAACTTGAGAACTATGAATTTCTCCAAGGTTAGAGAAATATTTTTTTGGTGTTTATTGGGTAATGTTACATTCAGGGTCTTCACATCCATTTTGGTAGTTTTGGTAAATTGCTGGTTGACACTCGGAAATTTTATCAACTGTGAATGTCCTTTTCAGTTTTCTTTTGTTAGTCTGGTAAACTGTGTTTATCAACAGCCGAGTCGTAGCTTTTTTCCTAAAAAAAAAAAATTGTAGCATAAAATTTAAGGAATTTTATTTACTCATATCCGTTAAAACTGGATCAAAATCTTCAAAAACTTCAAACCAGTGGAGTTCAACTATTTATAAGCAGTTGTGTTATGCAATGTGGGTTCCCATTTGGTTTTGTAATGTATAGTCATATTTTTTGGTCCGCATGCATAAAACCTAAGCAAATGTTTTTTTTTTTTAATTTCAGACCTTTTACTAAATTTGTGCAAATAAATTTAAGTTTAAAGTATACCATTTTAAGAAAACGCAATTGCTTAGTTGTTATGCATACGACTCATTGTATGTAATTCCTTTGTATTTTTTATTTTGTTAAAAAAATACAATAAACAAAAATTTGACGATTTTTTGGCCGAATTACGATTTTTTTAGGGTAAAGTGACGATTTTCCAGCAAAGCTTTCGGCAACGCTGGCGCTTGACGACAGCAACAACAAAGGTGCGTCCATTCTTAGAGCAATATCAAGAATAGGAAATGCACACATGTATTTGGAGCTACATGTGCCGGAAGCAGTACTCTGACTATATTCCACCAAACTATTTTCGTGTTCCATTTTTTAGCATACCATACTAAAACTTTACACTTTAAAAAATTCTTTACTCAGGAGACTTTTGCCGCTTTTAAGAGCCTCTTTTTCAAAACTGAGCCGGCACAAACCAATCCGTTTAGTGATTTGAAAAATGAAGCAACCCAGTTTCCTCAATTGTTCGTATATTCGAAGGGAGATGTGGTCATACCACATCAGGTGCGTATTTTGAAAAATACAGCGGAATTATAATTTATTTATATTTCATTTTTCAGGATATTGAAAAATTTATTAAAGTTCGGCAAGAGCGCGGAGTAGATGTATCCGCTGCTTGTTTCGAAGATGCCGAACACGTGAAGATCTATACAAAATATCCGTCACAGTACATCCACTGCGTATGTTCATTTATAAATAATTGCTTGTCGCGGCCTTATAATGGTGGTATTGGTTTGGAGACGCCCACTAACAGTGGCTCACCTACTAGTTCGGTTCGTTCAGTGCTAGGTGCTACTTCATCTAAATACGATTGAATTAATTAAATGTTATTTAAATATTTGTCAGGAATATGCAAGTATGTACATACACATATGTACACATACATAAGTATATATGTTTAATACCAAATTTTGAACGTCTTTCAATATTACGTGAATTTGGTCGAGAGTAGCATTTGGAAGTATGGTGTGCGTGTGAGCCGCTTATAACTTTAGCAATACTTAAGCATTGTAACTGCACAATATCAAATATAATATGCGTTAGTTTAATACTACTTCGAAGACCTATTAAAACTTGACACTTTACAATAAAATATTTTTGTTATATTTGCTTAATTCTATGCTTTAAACATGAAAGCGAACAATTAGAGACTTTGGGTTTTATGTATGTAGACGTTCAATATGTGATACTGTTGGCAGATATTAAAGGATGTATAAAAATGTATAAGATTCATTTTATGAAAGATTTTAGATCGTTTTAACACAAGTTTGTGAATGAAATATTTTCCTACTTACAAGAAAATATGCATTAAATAGCTAAAATATATGTATATATGGCTTTAAGTAGTGAACGAATTTAAATAAATGTCGGCTCTTGAAAAAGTTATCTTGTGTTGTCATTACACGGTTGGTGCTAGAAGTGGCAATGAAATGAAATAATTTACCTATAGGTATATTCTACACTGGCAAACTTTTCGTAACCGTTTTTTAATAAAGTTATCGTGAATTTTTAACCCTTACAATGTTATAAGCTGGTAACAACATATTGACCCATAGCTGAATAAACTGATGGTTTCCAATAAACCCAGAATTTCAGTAGTAAAAATTGTTGGTAAAAAAATTTCCGGTCACAAATGTTCGGGAACGTGCTAAAATAAAAACCAAATCCTGTACAATAAGTTTGAGCCAAAAATAAAATGTCGCCCACTAGTGTGTCATATATTCCAGATGTTTCATTCTTAATTTATTTCGCTTCTATTATACACCTCATTATTTTTCATTAACTTCTATAACCGGCGGATAGTAAACAAATATTTTATTAAAAAAAATTACCAAATGGCCAAACATCACCCAGACTTAATATTTTGTCGTAAGCAGCCAGGAGTCGGTGAGCACTTGAAAAACTACTATTTACGATCATTCCTATTGTAACAAAAAATCCCGATGTTTCAGCCATTGGACGTTTGTGTGAAAAATGTGATGGCAAATGTGTTATTTGCGATTCCTATGTACGACCATGCACTTTAGTGCGGATTTGTGATGAATGCAATTATGGATCATACCAAGGACGCTGTGTTATCTGCGGTGGGCCTGGTGTTTCAGATGCATACTATTGTAAGGAATGCACAATACAGGAAAAAGATGTGAGTAGTCGTAAACATGTGTATTCCTTTATTAAATAAAACTGATTTCATATTTTACCTTAGCGCGATGGTTGTCCGAAAATTGTAAATCTTGGAAGCTCAAAAACAGATCTATTTTACGAAAGGAAAAAATACGGCTTCAAACAAAAGTATATGCAACCATTTAAATATCAGTCACTATACTTATAATATCTAATATTTTCTCTAATTCCAGCTATTAAAACTTGGTTAGTCAGTATTTTATACCAATAGACTTGGCGTGTGTAGGTACGTATATGGAAAAGCAATGCTGCAGTTTGTTACAGGCGGTCTACAATCTATGATTATACATACCAACGAAATTTTTTACACGATTGAATTTGTTCTAAATACTTTTATTCATAAATGTATATAATGGAAATAGATATAATTTACAAATCTAATTAAATTATGCTTGTATAGCTTCGCTTCCTTCCAATGAATACTGCAAGCAAAGCTTGTCAAATTCAGATGACTTTTTTTCCAAATCGGATACAAGCTCACCCTTTGGATGAAATTGCTTCAATTGTTCCCAATAGCGAGCAATGGTTTCATGTGATTTTCCGGTCAAATGAGCCAACACCATCATGTTGATGAGAGTGTCGTAATCATTGTGCTTTTTGGTTAAAGCATCACGTAAAACAGCTTCGGCTTCTTCATATCGTTCCAATCCCAAATGAACTACTGCCTGCCCGTTTAAAAGCAACGGTGTAGGATTATGTTTTTCACAAAATTCTTGAAAAATGTGGAATGCGTCCTGCATCTGTTCGGTGCCAAGGCTTAGTGCAACCCAAGCTTGAGCCATTTGTGTCAATGTGGCGTCATCAGAAATTTCTTGCATTTTAGCTACCACCTGTTTAGCCAAATCAATGCGATTCAACCGTAACAGACACTGAACCCCTAAAGCCATTGACTCCAAATTTCTGGAGCCATGTAAAATCTTCAATGCATTTTCAAATTGCCCATCATAACAATACACAATGGCGGTGGCAATGTGCCAAATATTTGTATCGTCCTCCTCGCTGGCAACTTTATCTGTCAACTTTTCAAGTATGCTTTCAATTTTAGATGGTTGCTCGAAAGCATCATGCACGTAACGTAGTGCTAATAAAGCAGTGTTATTATTTTCCTTTATATCTGTAGCAATAAGGCGTCCAGAGTCGATAGCCAGGTATGAAAGATACATATACGAGAGGAGCTCCGTAGAAGCTGTGCCTTGCTCGGGTAGCACAAAATTAATGGAACCCATAAAGTTACCGATGTAGTACTCATTGCGTGCATAAAATAGCGTTGAATTAGTATCTTCTTCAGCTTGCAACGGCTTGCTCATTTTAGGGTAGTAATTTAATTGCAGACCTTTTAAAACTGGTATTTAATTAATTTGGTGTTTTCCTCCAAATGACGTGTATCAAAAACAATGTCAGTGTTTGTCAATTCTTTATCTTATTTTTCAGAGAACGTAAAGTAAATAAATTTACGTTCTATGCATACGTACTGCACCCTGTACTGTTCAGTTCAATTTATTTTTTTGGAAAAGTTGGTAAAGCAAGCAAGGCGATAGCGAGTTTTAATTATTTGAGAAACAACGGTATAAAATCGTTAACAAATAAGGAATTAATTAAAAAGTTTTCGTGCACGTGCATTGTTGGAAGTCCAGCTGTTTGTATAGGTGAGTAAAAGCATCAAAATAGTTATGGAATATTGCCGGAAAGCAAAATTTTTCTTGTCATTTCAAATTTCCGGCCGCTGTGGTGTAGTGGTAAGCAGTGCGCGCGGTCGTGCCGCGGCAGGCAATGGCAAACCTCCGAATGTATTTCTGCCATGAAAAAACAGCTTCTCATAAAAATACAATCGATTTGTGTGACAACATCAAGGCGCCGCCACAGGTAAGAGGAGAGGCTCGGCCAAACACTAACATATGTGTAAGCGCCAATCTATTATTATTATTATTATTTCAAATTTACACCACCACCATTAGCCAACGATACATATAGCATGATACTACTCATGATCAGTGTTGCCGCGAATAATTTTTAGTGGTAGCCAAATCCTTTAAGAAAGGCTAAAAATTGCTAAAAAAATTCGTTTTGGCTAAAAATGGTAGCTAAATTTTTTTACTTACATATACATATGTATACGTATACACACAAACATTTTCAATAAGTAATGGCCCTGCAAACCATTTTTTCAGAGTATTCTGCATTGTAAAGAAATTTTAAAGAATTCGTTAAGATTTAATTCGATTTTTTGCCGAATTTTCTAAAATGAAATAAATTACGCACCTTTCCATTCTTTTACGAAATTTCGGAAGAAAATCTGTGAAGCAACGAAAATAATGCTGCTATGTGAAGAATATCTTTCAGAATTTTTCCAGAATTTTCTTTATTTTTCGTACAGAAATTTCTTTACGAGTTCGTGTCAACCCCTTCATATAATTTTCTTTGAAGATTCGTAAAAAAATCGTTACAGAAATGAGATACTCCTAACGATTTCCTTAAGATTTCGGGAACTTTGGTTTGCAGGGGGGTTAGAAAAACAATGAACTCTGGAAAAAAACTAATACATTATCCAACCAAAAACCTTTTTATGTAAAATGGGAAATACACGACACCAGCTTGCTGGCACCATCAAGTGATTGTACCATCAGGCTATAAGCATATGAATAACATACCAGTATGCTGGTACGATGTTTATTTCTTTAAAAATGGGGTCCAGAAAAGACCGAAATGATTAGAGCTGAACTTTCATACTTTTTCTTCAATTCTGTTAAACATTGTTTTTTTCAATTCACAGCTGAAATATTGTGAACTTTAATCTTCCACAAACACGGATTTTACTCATATAGTGTAAGAAATTTTCGCCGAAATACTTTTTACTTCAAAAAATTAGCTAATTGCACCATTCACGACACCAGCATGCTGGTAGAATCATAAAATTTTCAAATCGTTTTTGACGTCGCACCAGGAGCTGGTACAATGAAACCACAAGAACATACACGGTCAATCGGCTGGCACCAACACTTGATGGCGCCAGCATGCTGGTATCATCTATGGGCCCTTTAACACATTAAGCATATTAAGGGTCGTAAACTTATCTATTTTAAAATATAGTTAAATCGTTAATAGATAAGTAAACGGCCCTAACACTTTTATAGTTTGTATAAAAATGTAAGGAACATACAATACATATACACATATATGTACATCAGAGTGTTTCTTAGTTTAACAATTTATCTCTTACATAAATGAAAAAAAAATAGTTCAAATTAAGCATATACAAATTTTTGCATGTCAAGGATGAATATACATTTTCCAAAGGGTTAAAAAGGGCTAGGGGCAATTTTAAATTTGTGTAACCAAAAAAAGTATGTGTAGCTAAATCTAGCCACGAAAGGGCTAAAACGGCAACACTGCTTATGATACAAAAATTCAATGGTAAAACCGCTGAGAGGCAGCCTGAACATTTTTGAAGTTTGCTAACATTACAGAAATGTTTTCAAATTTTTAATCTCACACATACATACATTCTCACTTTCAGCCTCAAATAAAGCAAAATTGAATACTTTCTCAAGACTAATTCATATAAGGTGGTAGCGGTAGTACAAAAACCAAGGCGAATTTATACAAGGTGGTGTTAACAAACAAAACAAAAATTACAACAACAAATTATACGCACATTGACAACCAGTACTACAACCAACTAATACATTCTCATTTTAGGACTTCTCTTTTTGGCGGACACTGGCCTAGAACGGCATTTACAGGTCTTGAGTCTACATAACTCGAGACTGCGTCCCTGTGAATGCCGTTCAGGGCCTGTCTATGAGCTGACGGGTCCAGAGGTTGCTTAATTAACCTCTGGACTTCGTCCGTCAGTTCATATAGATGCCTCCTGAAGTGCCTCGGCGAGGGCTCCTCTGCAAGCAGCTGTCTATTTGGGTGGCCACATCTGTGGCTCCCAACAAGAAACTGCTTGCAGAGCATCGTGTTGTGCTCCCTAATTGGGAGCATTTTTTCCTCATCGTGGAGGTGGTGTTCTGGTGTCATCAGGAGGCATCCTCTCGCTGTCCTGAGTACTGTATTTTGTACCGTCTGTAGCTTCGTCCACTGCGTCCTACTAGTCCCCGGCGACCACACTGGTGCTGTGTAGTTTACAACCGGCCGGCCTATAGCCTTGTATGTTGCCAGCAACGTTTCAAATTTAGTCTGTTCCAATAGCAGTCCGGTTTACAGGATTTAGTCAGAACTT